CCCCAAAACCCCAAAACCCCAAAACCCCAAAACCCCAAAACCCCAAAACCCCGTAATTGTCATATACTATTGTAAATATTAGTATTAAAATCGTAGGAATGGGTTCATGATGAATAAAAGCTTCAAGCAACACAAATGATACTCTTAGAGAGATCCAAGAGGAAACCAGTAGCAGCGATCTTGAGAAAGTCAACGACTTCAAGATCAAAATCCAGAATCTCAAAAGAGAACATCAAAGAGGACGAATTAACACATTTGATCTGTTAAGAGACGCACTTGAAGAACTAGATCTAACTGAAGAGCCTATTAACGAGCATTATGAGCTAGGCAAGATTCTTGGCTCTGGTAAGTACGGAGTGGTCAGGAAAGGTGTTGCCAAAAACAACCCTGATTTCAGAGTTGCAGTGAAGGTTATCGATGTCAGCAAATTGAACTCTCAGTTCCATTCATTAATCCAAGAAATTTTAACGCTGAAGAAGGCTGATCACCCCAATATTGTAAAAATTCACGAAATGTACAGAGACGATGAAACCCTGTACCTCGTTATGGAGTATGTGGATGGAGAGGAGCTCTTCGATTTCATTGCTGATAGGTTCAAACTCAAAGAGAGCGAAGCATGTGATATCATCGAACAATTGGTGAAATCCATTCGTTATTTAAATACGCTTGGAGTGGTCCACCGAGATCTCAAGCCTGAGAATATCATGATCAATAAGAAAACATTCCAAATTAAAATACTAGATTTTGGTTTATCCGCTTATTTCGACGAATCAAGTCAATTACGTAGTAAAGTTGGAACTCCTTACTACGTTGCCCCTGAAGTCCTCAATGGTGAATATGGTAAAGAATGTGATATGTGGAGCGTAGGAGTCATCTGCTACATTCTTTTAGTCGGATATCCCCCATTCAACTCAAAGAATCTCAAGAAAATCTATGAAAAAATTAGAGAAGGAAAACCTGATTATTATCAATCAGAGTGGGAAAATTTGTCTAAAGATGCCCTTGACTTCACAAATAAATGAATTCAGAAAGATATTTACAAAAGGATGACTCCAGCCAAAGCTTTGACTCATTCCTGGATTACCAATAAGAAGACTTTTAAAGGAGAGATAAACACAACTGTGCTCAGAAGACTAGCTAATTTTAAGAGTCCAGACAAACTCAGGAAGGAAATCTTCCAAGTGCTAGTCTGAAACGTCCAACCAGACACTATTTATAAGATGAATGAGTACTTTGCAAGCCTCGATGTGGACAATAAGGGAGAAATCTCGATTAAGGATGTAATGAAGAAGTTTGAAGAGCTCAAGTTTCAATCCTCTAGGTTTGATCTCCTAAAATCAGCCTACGCTGAGAACGAAGATTTAAAAATTCAGTATACAGACTTCATTGCTCGAGTCTTAGATATCACTAGAGAAGTAGAAAATGATGACCTTATCAGAGTATTTCAGCATTTTGATTCAGACGGGTCTGGAAAAATCACAAAAGATGACCTTAAAATGGTTATGAAAAGAAAAGGCGAGAACCTTAGTGAGGAAGAGCTTAATGAGCTCATTGGACAGGTCGACTCCTCTCTTAGAGCTGGAAAAAATGAAAATAATAGAACAGAGATTAATTTTGAGACATTCAAAAATTATATGCTGAAGCTTTCTCCAATGTCTCCAAGTCTTAGAGACAAAGAGCAGTTCAAGTTCAAAGGGGAGGCTACATTCTCAATGGATATATTAGATGATTCAAATACCCAAGCGTATGTTGATAAAAGACCCACAAGCATAGGCTCTCGTTTAAACTCCTCTAGTGACTCATTAGGAAAGAAGCAGACTTCCTTTGACATCCAAATGGAGTATGATGAGAACTAGGCTAATTTAGGAACTAAACTCACTCTAAGTGCTAAAAAGGTACTCTGCCTTGTTGATAATAATAACTATTCAACCTATATTTAGTCATTTGGGGTTTTGGGGTTTTGGGGTTTTGGGGTTTTGGGG